CATCCCCAGAGCGGGGACCACAGCCATGGGTGCTGGGGCTCCCGTGGAAACCCTGGTGCTTGCAGGAACCAGAGCTGTTAGCTGCAGGGTCACTGCTGCTGCTGGCTCCTTCCAGGGGACGAGGTGGATGTGCATGGATGTGGATGTGTACTTGCACTGGGGGCTCGCTGGGCTGCAGCGCATCGCCTCTCCTGTGCTGCTGGTGTGTGGACCAGCGAGCCTTGTCATCAGCCTGATAAAACCTCGGTGCCCAGGACGGAGGCACAGTCTGCCTGTCTCCCCAGGCACTTTCAGCACACTTTTTCTTCCTGTTTTCTGTTCCTCTGGCTAGGAGCATCTGGAGCAGGACTGCCTTTCTTAAGGAGGCTGCTAATAATTTACATGCTGAACTTTCTTCTTCTGGCCAGCTGAGCATTTTGCTGGGCATTAGCTCTTCATTTCTGCGTGGGTGTGTTTGCAATTCTTGCTCTCTTCTGCAGGCTGATCCTCCCAGTTAAACCTCAGATGTATCGAGCCCTCCCTAATGAGTTTAAGAAGCAGGCTGTAGATAAGCAGGCTGTGCGGCTCAGCAGCCCAGGCTGCGGTCCATCCCTAAAGAACAAAGCGGCAGTTCGGGCTGTTGGAAGGAGGCAGTCATGGAGTCCCCTGCAATGAGCAGCCCTGAGACCGACGGAGGTACAGTACGGTCTCTGGAAGCTCTCCTCGGCTTTACTGTCCTCTGGCTGAAGCTCACCTCTTGGGTGACAAACAGCGTTCCCCTGCCTTGGTGCAGTGGCTGGGGCTGAGGGAGTACGGTGGGAGCTGCTTAGTTCTGCGGACCTGTTGGCTGTTGAGCACTAAATTAGCCACCTTTGACAGCAAACTGGGTTTTGTGGGAAGCTGCTGTTTAAGGCAGTGAGTTCCTCACTTCATTTCACTTCAGCAGCACCATAAAGGGGAGAAAATACTGTTAAAAATATTCCATGCACTGAGTCAGAATTAATTCGGACACTGTTTTCCTTTGCTTTGTGCATCGAGGCTGATGATATGCACAGTGTGTTCTTCCTGCCAGGACAAAATCTAATATTTCTGGGTACCCACAACCTTCCTTAGAATCATAATAGAAAGATGAATACCCTCAGTGCACTGCATGCAATATTAAAGCACTAATGATGCAATCAGTCTCTCTTAGCCCCAGTAACAAAGGAAAGAATTACGCTGCCCTTCCTGGGCATAATTCTGCTCAGCGGTCTGGGCTCTGACTGCCGAGGAGATGGCCAGGTACCTGTGCTAGCCCCCTCCTCTGCCCGTGCCTGCTGCTTGTCCCTCGGCAAGGGCAGCACCATCCGTGCCGAGGACTCGCGCGGGCAGCGGGTCAGCCCCGCGCTGCGGGCAGCGGGTCAGCCCCGCGCTGGTGCTGTGTTGCATGGACCTTTGAATGCCCTGGTTTTGGTGGTCTTGCTGGCAGCTGGAGATGCGATGTCAGGGGCGGTTCAGGCCCCGTGGTCCCCCGTTAGGTGATGAGAGAACTGAGTAAGGACCGTGCAGAAATAGCCTGTGCTTCCTTTCATAAACAGAATCGCAGCCCGGCAGTTTGTGCTCATTAAGCTCTCGTGTCAGGCGGTTGTCAGCACACTGCTGTCGGCGCAGCCTCGCGCTCCCTCCCCTTTTTCGCTCTTTTGTTGTGCCTCGTTGGGGGCTGCGATGGAGCCAGCCAAAACGGGGGCACTTCTCCCCCATGCTGGTCCCCCCACGAGCTGCTCTGAGTGCTCCAGGCCCGGGGTTGTGTTCCAGGGAGCTGCAAGTGCCTGGTGCTGCAGGGGAGTTTGGTTTATTGATCAGCTGTTAACAATGGGGCTCGCTGCCCCAGCTGTGTGGCACCCCCTCCCCAGTGTTACTGGTGGGGCTGGGGCTGCTCACCGGAGTCGGGAATGCGGCCAGGGTAGGTCAGGGCAATGGGCTCCTGGTTCTGGCAGAGGCCTCTGGGAAATGCTAATTTTGTCTGGTGCAGATGGTACCAAGGAGGCATCCTCCCCCAGGCCTTTGTTTCTTAATTTTGGCTCATCAGTTACGATTTGGCTGTGCCTCCTCTGAAAGGAGGAGGTTTTTTTTTTTTTCTTTTGTTTTTGAGCCCAACTGTGTGAAATACCTTGGGGGGAAGAGGAGAAGCGAGAAAATGTCATTGCAGTCAAACTATTTCTGGATGCGCTCCCGTGCGGGCGAGGTGATGCTGGGCAAGCGCTGATGTGATACCCTGGAGTTGAGGGAGGCTGGTGGCCTCTGGGAGTTGGAGTTGGGTCCTTGGTACATTTTTTTAACCTTTGCCTGGTTCAAGTGCTGTTTGTCACCTGTGTCTGTGGGGGCTGCGGGACGCGTGGGGATGGGGAGCAGCGAGAGCTCCGCTTCTGTCCCCACCAGCCACGGGCATCCCCGGGTGCTGGCCCTGCTGGTGCGGGGGTAGGTGGGCTTTGCACGGGGGCTGCCTCGCACCTCTCCTGGGCAGCGGGAAATGGAGACAACATCCCTGTGGCTGTATCGAGGTCCTGCCCTGCTGGGCTCCAAAATCCCGGGAGAGGTGTGTGAGTCACTCTTCGTGCTTTAGCAGAACTGTCATGCCAACGAGGCATAAGGAAGACCTGCTAGAGTAATTTTGACCTACTGACTCCTGTTAAAGGGGCGCCTGGCCCTGCCTTGCTGCGTGTCTCCCCGTCGCCCTCTCTGCTTCCATGTTGCCTCTGACGACAGCGAGTTCACGTGAGGACTGAAGTGGCAGAACAAGATGCAGTAATTGGTGCTTACAGTGCTGCAAGAGTAAATGTTTAAACGAAGAGCTGGCTGTTTTCCTGGGACTCTCCAAGTTGTTTCTGGTGCGATGCCAGCTATAGATTGGTGCTTCCCATGGCTGCTGTCACTACCTGCCACCGCACCTCTGTGTGCGGGGCTGCGCTGGAGCTGCAGCAGCTGGGTGGTGTTCTGATGCACTGCAGAGCTCGGCCATGCGGGGAAGCTTTTATTTTCAGGCATGTAAATCATGAGCAGCTCAGCAGAGCTGGGCAGAAATCAACTGGTATGAGTGTAAGAAAGACGTGACCTGGGGGAAGATGAAGTGAGAGGATAACGTCACACTGCTGTTGATGCAGAGCTTTAACACGGAGCATGCACGCCAGAAACAAATGTGCTCCAAGCAAATGTCTGCTCCAAATATTTCATGGTACCTGAGTTATAGCTTTCAAGCCTGCAGCAGGTTTAGGATTTTTTTTTTTTAAATAATGTCCTTAAGAGCTCTAAAATGCAAAGGATTTCCATCATTTCATCCCTTTAAGGAGAGATGGCCGTGGGCAGAAAAGTAGGAGTTGGTTGAAATAGCTGGATTTCAATCCAAGCTTTTTCCCTGGAGTTGAGTGATTTTTCTCTTCAACTCACTATCCCCCCCCCCCCCCCCTTCTTTCACACATCAGACGGAATCCAAATGTCTCTCAATTTAAAGCTTTTGGGTGCTTGGATGAGAGTCTGACTCCTGCAAGTGCCAAGCGCTGGGCTAAGAGCTGCCTCAAGTCCCCCGGGAGCCGCGTGAGCCGGGCACTGCCCGGCGGTGCCGAGTTGAGGGGATGTTGTCTCTGCGCGCCAGCCGTTATTGTAAATCACCAGGGTAGGAGGTGAGTGTTCAAGCAGCCGAACCAGTAGGACCTTGGCAGTCGGAGGCTTTCTGCTGGTCTTCAAACTGCCGGGACTTTGGGAAGCGAGCTTTGGGTTCCGGTATCTCTCGCGTGGTGGACGATGCGCGGCCACGCAGCTCGTCCTCTCCTGGCTGTGGTGCAAGGCTCCGCTCTGGTGTCACCCGCACCGAGTCCCACCGCGGCCCTGGGGCAGCGCAGGCCCCCCCCCCCCATGCCGCAATTGCAGAGGGGGCTCGGGATTCCCACCCTTCCTCCTGACTTTGACCCATGGAGGGTGAGCCCCTGTTGCAGCCCAGACGTGAGTGGGTGCAGATGGGTGCTGGTGGCTGGTTTGGGGAAGCAGAGGGTGTGAGGCTGGGGTGCCCAGACCCCCCCGGGCACTGTGTCTAGCCCCCGGCACTGGGTTCGCTTCCCCACGGGCTCTGCTGTGCCCTGCGATGCCTGAAGGCTGATGCAGGGGACGATTGCCTGTTTTCTTGGGACTTTATGATTGATGGGAGCTCATACCCAGCTAGAGGTCAGCATTTCCATTTAAATGGGGTTTCTGAAGCCTGCTGTTAAGGGACCAGGGGGGTTTGGTGCTGGTCAGGCTGCAGACACGCGCTTCAGTGTTACGGAGCTGCCGAGGAGAGAAAACCTGAGTGCCGCGGGGGCCGGGTGGGAGATACCTTGCCAGGCTCTGGGGCAGCCGGGGATCTGTTTGCCGTGAGAGATGAGGTGATGAGGTTTTTGCTTACTGAGGTTTAATGCTTTTAGCGAGATGTCCCGTGAAATACACTGGAGCATCAGTTGGAGGATCCCCTACCAGGGAGCCAGCCCGGTGCAGTGAATGCAGCCCTGCCGTTCTGGGGACAGACGGGGGAAGAACCACCCTGTGAGGCAGACCTTGGTGTTGCCACCAGTGACCCTTTGCACCGGGCCCCGCTGGCAAGCGGGGTGGGGGCAGCCCTGTGGCACAATGCTTATGGGCGATGCCGTGCCTGCGGCTCGGCCACGACACCCACGCTGCCTGCGCAGCGCTGCCCGCGGCCCCTGCCATTAGGAGAAATACGATATTTGCAGTGTAAGGTTGTGAAAAGCCTGAGGCCACACACAAAAAAAAACCAAACCAAAACAAAAAACCAACCCCACACCAAAAACCAAAAAGGAAATGACTTTTCTTCTGGTGCTTGCATGTGTGCATGCGCTTCTGCGCTGACCAGGAGGTGCTGGGGCAGCGGCGTGCACGCTGTCAGGAAGCGCCTGCAGTGGTCGTCCTCCACGCGGCTGGCACACGGGTGCTGCTGGCCCCATCACCGCGTGTCCCCCCTCCGACTCCGCCATGGCTGGAGTGCCCTGGCAGCACCGAGCCAGCACCATGTTCCAGAGAAAACGCAGCGTCTCCTTCGGCGGCTACGGCTGGTGGGTGCCTTTCCTTTCTCTCCCCCCTTTGCTACTGGGAGTGTGGGGCTGCGCGAGGAGCTTTTTTTTCCTGCTGTGGCTTCAAAGGAGGAAGAACCGTGGCACTGTGGCACGGTGCCCTTGCGGCAGAGCCCTTCCCGCTGCCCCGTGCCAGCAGGAGCGTGTGGGAGTCGGGACAGACCTTCTTCCCCCCCGCCGTGCCCTTTGGGCGCCCCGTGGGTGCCAAGCAGTGAGGGGACCTCCCTGGGGGCTCGTGGTGGGCTCCCGTGGGCATGTCACCTGCAAGAGGGTCCTGTGGTTCCCCCCCGCCCCTCTCGCTGCCGAGGACCTGCTGCCCACTCCTCCTCTGCCCGAGCAGCGAAGCTCACAGCCGCCTTCAGCACCTCACGGCGAGGTCCCACCTGGTCCGGGGCACGTTCCCGGTGCCATCGGCATCTCCCGGAGTTGTCCCCGCTCTGTCTGTGCTCGGCAGAGCACCACGGCTGCCGCCTGCACCCCGGGTTCGGAGGGACTGTTTGCTTCTCATGTCCCTGCCCTCCAAGATGTGTTGATCTATAGGGAAACAGTTTAAGAAAATGGCACTGTTCTCCCTCTGCCCTTCCTCCAGTTTCCCTCTCTCTGAGGTATTGTATGCCTGTTCCAAGACTGTGGTGTGTGACTCTGATTGGGCTGTGGGAACTGATGGCCAAATTGGCAATTTTGTAATGATTTTGGCTGTGTGGTGCTGGTGCAGAGGATTGCTCTGCCTTCCTCTCCTAGTGCCGCAGTTGCTGTAGGGGCTGGAGCTGGGCAGCTGGGAGCCGCGGGGGCTTTGGGACAAGCACTTGTGCCGGTAGGCTTGGAGCTGCTAGAAACCTGCTGGGGGAAATGCTGAGTACCCGAGAGGGTTGTGGGAGGGCAGCGAACTTGTTGAGGGTTTCGGCAAAGTGGGAATAGAAGCATGCACCTTACTGAAGCCAAGTGTTTTGTCTCAGCTGGATTTTTTTTTCTTTAAATAAAAATGGGAAGGAAGCACTCCGATGAACTTCTGTAAAAATAAGTTTTGTGAAATGTGGGCTCGTTCTGTGGCAGAGAGAAATCGCGGCTATTGGGCAGCTTTGCTCTGCAGCTGCCGTTGGGAGCAGTGGCTCTGGGGCCCCGATCACACGGGGTGCATCCCGGGAGCTGCTGCTGTTGACAGCTTCTGGCTGTGATGGAACGGAGCTGTTACCCCCCCACCCCTTGCAGGGGCATTTGGGGCTGTCTGGGCTTTGCTCAGTTGTTTTCCTTCTGCGCTTTGGCAGTTGCAGGGAAAAGATAACCACGAGCCGGCGAGTCATGCAGGAAAATGCGGTCTGCTGGCTGTTAGGGGGCTGCGCCACCGTCACGGTCTGGGGCTGGCGGGAAGCAGGGTGCACGCTTTCCTTTAAATATCGGCATTGGGGTCTGCACAGTGAGAAAGACAGACTAGGGGGTACGGGGGGAGCTCCCAAGCGGGGTTGGTGCACGACTCCCTGGGGAAGACCCCCCACCTCGCAGTCGTGCGTTGCCTGGAGAGCAGCATGCGCAGCCGGGAAAACGCTTCCCTGGGTGTTTACGGGAAAGGAAGGGACCTGCGGCAGCCCCGTACCTGCATCTGCATCTTCTCACGGCTGCGACCGACACACCCTTCCTGTGGGGACCGCGTGTGGGGCGGCCGGGCACACCCAGCCACCGCTGCTGGTAGCTGCAGTCGCTATTTCCAGCCCTGCGCTGGAGTGTAAATCGTTTGGGTTTTTTTTTTTTTTTTTATGTCTACTGGCTGTATCTGCCGGCAGCGAGGTCCCGTGAGGAGCGTGCTTGTCCTGGGGCAGCAGACATGGTTCTGCTGCCCTTGGAGGTAGGGATGCCCATCGCGGGCGATGCAAAGCCGTGGCGTTTGCAGCCCGGGAGCTGCCGCCCCAGCCCTGCCTGCACGCCCTTCCCAGCTCTCTGGGACCCCAGTGAGGGATGCAGGTGCCAGCCTTGTCCCCTCTCCTCCCAGGCCGTGGGCACCCAGCTGGCGTCGGCCGCTCCTTTCCCCTGGGCGCTGCTTTTGGCGACAGCGGGGAGGAGACACCCCCTTTGCTGGTGCTGCCAGGTCTCGGGGAGCCCCAGGGCCGTGCTGGGGTGCACAGGGAGGAGTCTGGACCGGGGCGTGCGGTGTTTCACTTCACCCCACCTCGGGAGAGGGCGCAGGGCAGGGCCTGACGAAGCGGCTCTTGTAACTTAGTCATATTGCAACTGCGGTTTCTCCAGCGAAGGGTTTTCTTTCTCGTGTGTTTCTTTTTTTTTTGTCACTTATTTTTTCCTCTCCAAGAGGCCAAATAACAGCAACTGATTTTTCTTCCTGCCGTTTCGGATAAAGCTGCTCGGTGCAGCTCCCCGCTCCAGTGTGGCTCCTGCAGAAGCTGCCCCAGCCACCCGCTGTCCCCGTGGCTCGTTTGCACCTGCCACCAAGTTTGGCAACAGCTATTTACACCAGCACGCTTTAGCGTTCAACTCGATTTAATGATCAACAAGGTCTGTGGACTGGCTAGTTAAGTATTAAGTGACAATAGCGGGTGCCCTGGGTCTATTTTTAGGAGCAGTAGCGTGCCGGCTGTCCAGGAGCGGACGTTTGGGGAAATGCCTGGAACGCAGCTCCCGCGGCCGTGGGGTTTTGTGAGTGCAATGTCGGTCTGAGCAAGAGAGGGACCCTGGGAAGGGTCATGGTGCGTGCAGGCGGGGTGGGCTGGGGTTGAACTGGGGTGTGCAGGGCGGCTTTGCCCTCGCCCGTGGGGAGCGGGGACACCCCACGCGGGGTTCCTGACGTGTCTGCCCCGGTGCTGGCTCAGCCTGTGGCATGGCGTGCCGGGGATCCGGTCCCGCTGCGTCACCCGCGGGTGCAGCCTCCTCGTGATGGAGAAGTTCAGCCTGGGAGCGGAGGGTGGTAAAGCTGCGAGTAGAGGGGAAACTGCATTTCTGCAGCCTTGCCCTGTCCTCTGTGATCGCAGTGCAAAACAAGTGGGGTTTGGGGTTTGTTTTGGTGTGTGGGTTTTTGGTTGTTTTTTTTTTTTTTGGTGGTTTTTTGGTTTGGTTTTTTTTTTTTGAGATGTGGAATTAATTTCATGCGGCAGATAACAGAGCATTTGCAATGACTGCCAAAAGACATAATTTTGCATTTTGAGACATTACTATGATTTGCATTAATTAATATTAATGTGACTTTAACCACAGTGATTCTGTGGAGATAGGCACTTATTAACGGTGCCAAATAAATAAGTGAAGCAACTGGGCCTCCCGGCCCCGCAGGAGCTGCCCGGGGCTGAGAGCGATGGGGCTGCTCTGCGTTCCGTCTGCCCAGGGCTCTCGGTGTGTGTGCGAGTACTCGCAGTGGCTGTGGGTGGGTAAGGGGGTAAGTAAAGGGTAAGTCGGCGGCTGGTGCCCAGCTGGGGATGTGGCACAGCCCTGCAGGGATGAGCCTGAGCTCATGCAGTGAGGCAGCGACCAGCCAGGTATGAAAATCCCGCACCCTGCTGTATCCTTGTTCCTTCCCCTGGAAGGCTGCAGGGTCGAGTTTGTGGGGTTTGGCGTGATCTTCCCAGTACGTCGGGTCTGTCATCTTTAAATACGTGTTTTGTGGGAGATGTGAGCCAGTGCTTTGGAGAGAGCTGGGACATGGATAATGTCCTCCTCTGGTGCCCAGTTCATCTCTGGCATTTTGGATGAGGAGGCAACAGTTCTCCACTGGTCACCACCGGGAAGTAACTGGGGGGATTTTGTTTTACTTGCTGCCAGGCTTCACTTTGGGTTAAATGTTGGTTGATTTTATTTTCTGTTCAAGTCTTTCTGTGGTGATCATCGCGTCAGCCAGACTGATGGCACCTCCGAAGGAGATGCTGGGGCCGGGTTTGCCAGCAGCCCCCGTACCCTAGTCGGGAGGAGGGACAGCCCTCCCTCCTGCACCCGCAATAACGCGCTCCTCTGCTTTCTCCCCAGGATCGACAAGACGATGCTCGCCAGCCTGAAGATCAAGTGAGTACCCGCACTCTTCTCTCTCATGTAAAGCGATTTCCCTGTGAGATACGCAGTGCGGAGAGACGGCTTTGTGCATGGAGGATGCTTTCTTGTTAGCTGGGCTGTCTTCCCGGGTCCAGCTCTGTGCAGGGGTAGACCAGCCGTTATCTACCCGTTCCTGGAGATGTGTTTGTGCATGTCACACGGCTTGTTCTCCTGTCAACTCCAAGGTGGTTCAGGCACTGAGCGATTATAATAAACGCAGTGACACAATCGTGGTATGATCAGTTGGTTAAGGCGTGCATGGTGCCATTCAGGGGGCACCAGCTCTGCCTTGGGAGGGATGGGGGTGGGAATCAGCAGGACGGGCCGCCACCAAGCTTCTGGTTTGTAAATTCAGTAGAGTCTGGAGGTTTTTTTATTTTGTTTTTGCATCTTGCAGTCTGGAAAGGGGGTGGGTGTCGGTGGGATAGTGGGTGCCTGTGTTTGTTACCCAGCTCCAGCTCCCCTGCTGCTGGGGGGGCTCTGGGAGTTGCTCTGGAAGGGGCGAAGATGCTCTTGGGGCCCAGGAGGGTCTGTGAGCCGGTGGTGTTGCTTGGTGGGTCCATCTCGGGTTTGCCACGGACTTGGTGAAAGCTGACAGTGTGGGCTGCATGGCCTCTGGCAAGGCGGCCGCTGGGGCAGATCCCGCTCTGTAATGGAGTGAAGTGTGTGGGATCACCACCCCTGCTGGAAAATGCCATCAGCTGGATGGGGAAGAGCAAGCGAGAAAGGACTGGGAATGGTGGTACCGATGCTCTCTGTCCTCCCGGCACTCGCAGCTGTCTGTGAAATGCCGCCCGTTCCCACAGGGCCTTGTCCTCCCGGCTCTGCGACGGGGGGGACTGATCCTTCCCTCCCGCCGTGGCACATCCTCCCCTCTCCCCAGTTTCTGGATAAGCTCCCCGAGTTGGGGGTTTTCCATTGCAAGCGTACGCTCGGCTCCGGCACTATCAGTGTAAATGTGTGCTAATATAGAAATATTCTGGCCAAGCCTCCCTTGAGCTCAGGGTAATGTGTACGGGTAACAGCTCATGTGGTTTCCCTCTATAATCATTACTTGTGCAAATTATTCATTAATGGAAAAGTGTACAGAAAGCCTTGGGGGAACCTGCTGCCTGAATGAGCCTGCAAATGCCCATTGTAAATAGCACAACAGAGACGCTGTTGCTACGCTCATTGCTCAGGTTTTTGCTGAACTAATGAGAAGTTTAAATCAATGTTTACCGCTTTTAGGAGTGGAGGGAAATCTCAGTAGACTTGCCTTTTCCCATGGAGCTGAGAAGGATTTAGCTGCTCCTCGTACGCTGCCATACACTGTGCCCTGATTTTTTTTTTTCCAGGGCCTGTGCAGCAATTTTGCTGCAGAAGTACCATTTAACCCCCTTTCCCCACCATGCCGGGCAATTAGTGCCGTGCTTGGAGCGCTGTGCCGGTGCTGTGCTGGTGCTGTGGGGCACGCTGCCACGCTCCTGCTTGGGCAGGGGTGAGGGTCTGGGGCCACGTTCCTTCCTCCCTCCTGCCCCGGCTGGAGGAAGGGGTTTGCTCAGGGCATTCGGTGAGCATCCACTGGAGTTGTTTTATCCCCGCTACTTGCAGCTAATGCTTTCCACAGCCTCATAGCGCTTCTGGTTTGTGGACAGATTGCTTCATTAAATGGTCCTGTAATTGGGGCTCAGCCAGAGCCACATTAGGTATTTGTAAAAGCTTTCAAAAATAAAAAAATAGTTTTGGTTTTCTAACGCCCTCTTATTATTGCTGCAGCCTTCTGGCTAAGATACCAGGCGTAGGCAATTTTCTTTCAGTGTATAACTTGTTAACAAAAAGACAAGCTGCTTTCTGCACGCCAAGGAGCACTTCACAAAGCCTCGTGCGTGCTGCAAACATCAATATTGACTTGCAGAAACCTGGCAGGGAAGGAATAGCGAGCGCGTGGTGGTGGATGTGGCCCCGAGAGGGGGTCCCCGTGCGGCCGAGGGGCTGCAGGACCCCCCGCCTGAGCCAGCTCCTTGTGCCCGGGGCGAGGGCTGTTTGCTGGGGCAGCATCGAGCCCCTCCGTCCTGGGGGAGTGTGGTGGAGGGGAGCGAGGGGCTGCAGGTCCCAGTGGGCTCTCGGGGGGCGAGAGCGAAGTCGGTATTTGGCGAGACCGAACCGGGCAGCGGGAGGGCCCGAGTGAGACGCCGGGCTGCTCGCCTGCCTGCTGCTCCTGTTCGGCGGAAGAAACTCGCACACGCAGGTGGCACTAGAGCATCAAAGCAGTTTTCCCTCTGTCTGTTTCTCCTTTTTCTTTTTTAATTTGGGTTTCATTAGTTCCTATGGCAACCATGAATATGTCTGAGGGACTCAGAACTGGAGAGAGTGAGTAGACGTTGCGGAGTGGGAGTGTCGAGGAGAGGTGATGGATGGAGAGCCCTGGCATCGCGGTCAGGGGCTCGGCTGGCCCCGTTCGGTGACGGGCACTGCGGGGAGGTACCGGGGCTGCGCTCAGGTGGGGAAGGTGCTGCGGAGGACCGAGCATCCCCGGAGCGGCTGCTGCTCAACGGCCACGTTCGCTGCTCAGTCTCTGAAATGCCGAGGAAGCTCTGGTGAGTTTGGGACTGGCTCTGCCTCGGGGAGCTGTGCCTGTGCCCTGCCAGGGCAGAAAAGCCTGAAAGTGTCGGCTCTCCAGCGGGGAGCTTGTGCGCCCGGTCCCACCGCTTCGGGTTTAAACGTGCAGCTGGCAACGGGCCGTCCCTGGCTCTCAAAACCACTGTTCTGGGACAGGAGAGAGCTGAGTTTCTGCCTGCTGCGGGGAGCCGTGGGTGGCTCTGGAGAGCTCGGGCACACTCCCACCTTGTGTGGCTGGGGGCTGCTCTTGGGCAGCCTGGCAAGGCACCCAAAGGCAGTGTGTGGGGGATGGAGAGTCTGGGGGAGGGCTTGGAAATACTCTACTTGCTGGTTTTGGGGGGTGCATGTCCCCAGGGTGGCAGCAGGAGCTGGTGCTGTGGGGCTTAGGTGCTGGGAGAGGGGCCGGGGCTGCTGACAGCCACTGGGACCGGGGCCAGCCCCAGGGTGCTGTGAGATGGAGACTGAGGAACTTGTGCAGTAAATGGGATTTGGCATGTGTGGACCCAGGATTTTGGCATGGACCAATTCCATTGCGATCCCTGTTTTTCTGTTAAGTTTTTTTTTTTTATTCCTTACCAGCTTCATGGGAAAGCACTGGGGGCAGCTGAACCCCCCAGGCTGGCAAAAGGGGCATCACGTCCAGAAGCAGCCCTCCAGACCTTGGCTTGGTGCTGGTGTTCTCTTGGGTCACATCAGGTCTCTGCAGAAAGCTAGCAGTGTCACTGGGATGGCGGGATGCTCGTGTGGTGCCCTTGGTGCTCCTTGGGGCACAGCTTCATGCAGGGCTTGTAAAATGTGGAGTTTGAGGTCAAGTTGTGCTGCCGGGGAAGGGAAGAGCTGACCCAGATGGCAGCTAAACCCACTTCCCGAGTGAGGAGGTCACCCTGGAGGAAAACATCAGCCTATCGAAGGATCTTTGCATATCAGAAATCAACCCCAGCCAGATGAGCCTGCCTAATGAGTGTGTTTGCTTCAGAACTGCCCTGCACTAACCCCAGGCAGCACAGCAAGTGCAGGGGTCCCGAGGGGCCAGGCAGGGACCCCCAAGCCCCCTCTGCCTTGGGACATCCTTGTACTGGGGATGCCGGAGGTGGGAAGGTATGATGGGGACGAACCCGTGGGGACCTTCCTCCTCCATCCATCCAGATTTCTCGGGAATGAGCTGGTCAGGTGATGTCCTGCGTGGGAGGTTAGCCAGCCCTTTGCCTGCTGGTGGCCCCTCAGCCCTCTGCGCTCTGGTTATTTTCTCTTTGCTATCACCAGTGGGAAGTACTGAGAAACCACAGAGTATTTAAAAAAAAAAAAAAAAAAAATCAATAAAAAAAGTCCCTTCTTCAGGCAAAGAATCACCTCTTGCTTTAGCCTTATAAAGCAAAAATAGCAATGAAATAATCATATCTCTGTGGAACAGGAGGGCCTTGTACACCAATTACTGAGAGTCAGTGTGTGTACAGCTAAAATTCACATGAAAGAGCATGTGATGCTCATCTGGTGATGGGAACAGTGGTGGAAAACAAAGGTGGAAAGAGAAGAGATGAAAGATTTACTTGACCTTCGTAAAATGAGCTGTGTCCAGGCTTGAGGCTCTTTAATATTTGATGGGCCAGAGCTGAGTTAATGGGAAGATGTGGGAATGATTTAGCTTCTTGGCTGTAGCTGCACTGACTATTGCAGTAATCTTGGAGGTTTTTGCTTAGGTCTTGTGAGGACAAGGTCTGGAGAGCAGATTGTGTCCAAGTAAATTCCTTTGACTTTATTACCACCTTTTAAAATGGATAATTGCATGCAAATGTACGTTTTGCAATTATACTTTAGCTGTAGTAGCATCTGTGTTACACTGCAAAAAAAAACCCCAAAACCCGCTGTCAAAACTACTGCTAAGCAGCCGTCTGCAGTGAACAGGGGAGGCAGGCAGGCCTCCTATTTCATTTGATTTGTAACTGCTTATGTCCAAGGCTGCAGGATGAAACCTCCTGCAGCCACCCCCTCCCAGCCGGTGTCCGAAGGATGCCCTGGGACTTGGAGCAAACTTTAAGATCAGTTAAAATCGGTGCTGGGGCTGGAGGGGCAAAACGAGGTATGGGCTGGTCCAGGCTCCTGGCCGAGTGCTGGGCAGAGTCTCTAAATGGGTCTGTGTGCAGATGAGCGTTAATTGGGTACCCAGCTGAGGTGAAGGTTGTTTAATATCCATTGCCCCGCCGGCTTGGATGTTCTTCTCACCCTGGAGTGGTGCCTCTCCCTTTCTGATGTTGTTGTCAGTTATATTAATTTTTGCTGATGTGCATGTGGCTTGTCTAATCACAGCAAATACTTCTGAGCTTTTCCTAAGCCATCTTTCTCGGTCCCCTGACTCTAATCTCACCCTGATTTTT